CTTGTCTTCCCCCACTGGGTGTCTCACCTTTTTATGCTTTTTTCCTAGACTGTTAATTGATTCTTAATCATCTACTCAACTAAATTTAACTTCATCATTGATTTTATCACTGAATCTCTACATCTTCAGCCAAACACCCCTTTGGTTTGAAGCTGGAAAAGTTGACAATAGCCAGGTGTCAAACTGAGCAGCCGGGCAAGGAGATAATTGGTTAGGAATGCCACCTTGAGGACAACAGCAAGTTTGAAAGAGATGGTTGATGGTTGACAAGTATCTCAATTTTTTCTCTAAAAAGGGAATTTGTATGGAACTGTAAAGAATGCATCTCAATCCTGCATGGGGTTTGTAACAAAGTACCTATGTCATACTATAAACATGTGGTAAAATGTTTGTAGTCTTAAGCTTAGCTTAGGTCCTCCTGTACTACTAAGCACAGCGGGCAGCGATCAGCTGCTGCATCTTCTACCCCTTCCCACGTGATTCTGGCATTTTGTAGATCTTCTTGGAGCATGCTATGTCAAGTCTGGATTGGCCTTCCTCTTTTCCTTTTACCGCCCAGTGGAGTCCATCTCATTACGATCTTTGGATGCCGGTGATGTGGTAGGCGTAGAATATGGCCTGCCATAGTGCGTTCTGTCACTATATCTTGCAGCCTCCTGAAGTTGGCTTTTTGTATGATTTCTTCATTTGTAACATGGTTGCAGTGGGTGATGTGAAGTATTTACAGCAGGCACCACTGTTGGAAAACTTTCAGTTTCTGTGCTATTCGAGACGTTCTTTTCCATGTTTCACTGGCGTAAATCGTGGTAGGTACTGTAGGTACTGTACGGTTTTATACAGGTGAATTTTTGAGTCAATGTTAATTGCTGTTGATGACCATATTGAGTGCATTCTCTGGAATACTGCCACCACCTTGCCTATTCTGCGATTAAGTTCTTTCTCTAAGTCATTTTCCTTGGTAAGCACAGTTCCAGGGTAAGTGAAGCAATCTACATCATCTACTAGTTGTTGTCCAGTGGGGATTTGAACTATCACCTGATCATCGCTGATTTGCATAACTTTTGTCTTTTCAACACTCATTCGTAATCCGACTTTTCTGGCAGCCTTTTCCAGGTTAGTTGTCAGCTGCTGTAGTCCATCTCTCACTTCTGCCAATAGGGCAATGTTATATGCTATGTCTAGGTCTGTCAGGCTCGCTTGTTCAGTCCACTGTGTGCCTTCCGCATTAAAGTCAATCACCAAAAGAACAGGACTTGTGACAATATACAACTGAGACATGCCAGTGACAATGGTAAAATAGTTAGTAACACCAGTATCTGTCTTCACACAACAACGAGAGTTTAGGTAGATATTTTTGAAGACAATATATCTCTGGGGATGCCATAGATCTTGGTGATATTCCACAGCGTTTCCCTGTGTACATTGTCGAATGCTTTCTTACAATCAATAAAATGTATTAATATTGGTCTCTGGAACTCAATGCACTGTTCAATGATGTTGTGTAGCGTAAATATCTGTTCGGTACATGATCGCCCACTGCGAAATCCCGCTTGTTCTTCTTGCAGTGTTGCGTCAACAGTAGTCACGTAGTCGACTTATTAATACGGTGCAGAAGACCTTACCTGGGACAGATAGAAGTGTGGTACCACACCAATTATTGCAATCGGTGATGTTTCCCTTCTTGGTCAGTTTAACAATCACCACTGTCACGTAGGTCCAACAGGACGAACCGTGGAATGGCAGGAGAGCAATTAAGACCCTATGCGTAGCAGCGAGACGGGGGTTTGCCCGGGCTCAGCAGTTCAGGAGAAGCCGTTTAGAAACCTATGCCCTCAGGCCAAGGACAGGAGTGACCTGGTGCTAGGCGGGTCTCAGGGCAACTGAACAAACAATGCTGAGCGAGTAGCAGAGCAGAAGCAGGAAATAAATAGGCTACACAACAAGACACACCAGAATGACATGAATAATCACAGGGAACTGGGAACAGAAGGAACGTAGAGCGCCCCCTAGGTGTAATGAGTGTGACAACCGTATCATGACACTCTTCTGGGACACACTCTTCTTACAGACCATGCACTGTAGGTGAATAATAGAAGTTTGACCTGTAACAGACTGGTATCCAGTGCAGGTTCTTCAGCAAAGGAGAAATATTTATGGATTTTATAGACTTGGTTAGCATTTGATCAGCACAGGTCTGGACATACTGTAGCTTCTAAATGTATTTCTTGGATGATCCAACTAGCAAAACTTTGCAGTAGTCTAGCCTTTAGGAGATAAATGCATAATTCCCTTGGCATTAGTAAGGGAAGGAAATGGTCTTAAATGGAATATGTTTTGCAAATGGAAGAAAGACGTGCAGCAGATTTTGCAGACATGAGATTCAAGAGATAGGAAAGAATCAAAATTCACCTAAGTTTTTAAAAGAATTTGAGGAATTATTTCTGTATCAACAAAAGTGAGTTTTAGACTTTAGCACTTAGCTAAGCCTGGCTATCATGATCAATGGCCATCCATTGGCGCCTTATCTGTCTAGGGAGTGCCAGATGGACATCTGGACTGCATTCCTAAGTGTCAGGAGTAAGTGACTCATATCTCACCTTGATCAACCAGGGACTGGTAGACTGGTAGAGCCGAGTAACCCACGTGGGACTCTGATGCCCATGGAACTTTCAACCAATGAACGAGCTGAAGTTCCTCCAGGTAAAAACAGGCAACACAGAGGGCCTGAGAGACTTTGTGGACTTTTCTAAAGGGAATTCAAAGGAGAATTCCAGGGCAGGACAGCTCAGGAGCAGAAGGCTCCCAAGGACAGGACATTCTCGCAGCGCGCCTCCTGACCATCCTGAGACTCAGCCCGGACAACCATGGAACGGCCAGTGTGTCCGAGTGCCAGAACTTTCCTCTGTTCTAAGAGTCTAGAGCAGAGGTTGCCAGAGAGTAACCAGAGGATCCACCCGAGGTTAGCAAGCCTCATGAACAGGTCGGAACTGTGGACAGCTGAATCGGTATTCAGAACTAGCTCTTCATAAGGAACGAACCGGTCCTCTTTCTGACTTGCTGGGACCCACAGTCATCTTTTCTCCTGTGTGCAAACTTTGCTAGTTAAAGCCAACACTAACTAGCCGGTCAGTGAGCATCAGCAGCGCACCGTCGCAAGCCGCACAGCACAGCCTGGCACCGAGCCAGAGAGCGCGGATTGGATAGCAACAGCCTGCAACTGTTTCTTTGTGCCCGCAGGAGATCTGAATCCCCAGAGATTGGATAAGTACTCAAATTCACTGCATTACGGCTCGAGAATTCAATTGTTATCCCAACCAGTTGATATCAATTTAATTCCTAAGAGTTATGTACTTGTGTTGAGTATCTAATGTAGAAGTTATAACCAAGTTCATTTACAAAACGGTCTAAATGAATGATATACTGAACGTATGTCCTTTTGATATATGTTACACTTCGTAACTGATTGAATATATATCTTTTGTATTCTGATAACCCTCTCGATAAGATCTGTTTGGTTTATATGCATATTCTATGTATTAATAAATGTATCCTCGTGTATTAGTACCTGTGTGTGCGTTGTTTGAGTTATATCGCATAGTTGGATTCTAAGGCCATCAAAAGAATCATTTTGTGATTTACGTCTACAATTAATAATTGTCCCCGTAAATGCCCAAACCCTACAGAACTGGTGCCTTCAGAGAGCACACTACACAGTGATGCAGCATCCAACTCAGATGGTGCCCAGCTCAGGCACCATCCAGACATGTGGGGAGGAGAATAGCATAGTTTGGTCAGAACAGATGCATCTACCTGGAAGGCCAGCACTGAGACACACAATGGCATGTACAGCAGCACCTGCAGCCATAGTTGTAACAAGCTATGATGTAAGGTGTGAGAAGGCTAGGCTAAAATAATAGGTTTTCAGTCTGGATGTAAATTCTGAGATTGACTCGGCATCCCGTATGTAGGCTGGCAGACTGTTCCATAAACTAGGGACCCTGTAGCTAAAGGCTTTACCTCCAGCTGTTTTTTTTATTAATATATGGAATAAGAAGAAGACCTGCATTCTGTGATCTAAGAGGGTGACTTGGATTGTATACATTAATCAGCTCCATCAAATAGACAGTTGCCTGATCTCTGAGAGCCTTATAAGTAAGTAAAAGAATTTTGAAGTCTGCCCTATACCTAACAATTCTAGCTGCCGCGTTTTGAATTCGCTGTAAGGTGTTGAAGGTGCGATGAGTGCCCCCTGATAGTAGGGCATTACAGTAATCTAATCTGCTGCATAAAAAAGCACGTATTATTTTCTAATTAGTTAAAGGTAAGACCTTACCTGTCTTTAACCACAGCAGCATGTTGCCACTCAACCCGGCATAATACTCCCATCAATTAATTAAATTAATAACATGGTTTACAATGAAAAAGCTGCTTAAAAGGTCTGATAGTACAAGAATGAATGGAAAGCCAACAGAGATGAGAAGACTAACAACCTTCACGAAAGCAGTTTCAGTACTATGAGCAACCCTTAATCTTGATTAAAAGGTTTCAAACAAGGAATTAAGTTTTAAATTAATAAATAATTGGGTTGCTACTAGAAATTCTAATAGTCGTGCTTCAACTTGTAGCTTTGAAATAGACCTAAAATTAAAAAAATAATAATTAATTTTTACTTCGCATTCTGAAAAGTGACTGGATGCTTATGATTTTGGGACTGTGAGAATAAAGACAGGACAAACAGCACCACCGGCTAGTCAGAAATGTCTATGTTACATTTCTGAAGAGTTACCACTCTTTCGTAATGAGTGGGCATGTACTGTACATGCTGAAATAAACCACAACATTTAGAAATTCCTTAAAAGGAGCAGAGATATTTAAGTCCACATTAATATTAAAATAACCAAATTAAAGAACTTGGCCCATTGAAGGGCAGAATGACAACACAATTACAATGTATATTATAATTTGGAGAGCGATAGACAAGCAAAACGGTAATTTTAAAAGCAATAAGTTCAAAACAGACCACGGGAGGAATGGGCAGTAGACACAGATTAAAGTTGGAGTGGTAGAAAATAGTCAAATCAGCTTTCCCTCCCCAGCCTGTGTTTTGGACTGCTGGGTCTGAATACTTTTCAGTATTTCAGTAAATCTTCCTTTGCTTCCAATGCTTCCAGGCTTCACCATTGTTGAATTCTATACCTACAATAACAGAATTGACTATTGTAAGTAATAATAAAAATAATCATAATCATCATAATAATAATAATTGCTTACACTTATATAGCACTTTTCTGGACACCACTCAAAGAGCTTTAAAGGTAATGGGGACTCCCCTCCACCACCACCAATGTGCAGCCCCACCTGGATGATGCGACAGCAGCCATAGTGCGCCAGTACGCTCACCACACATCAGTTATCAGTGAGGAGCAGAGCAGAGTAATGAAGCCCAATTCATAGATGGGGATAATTAGGAGGCCATGATTGGTAAGGGCCAATGTGAAATTTGGCCAGGACGCCGGGGTTGCATCCCTACTCTTTTTCAAGAAATGCCCTGGGACTTTTAATGACCGCAGAGGGTCAGGACCTCGGTTTTACGTCTCATCTGAAGGACGGCACCTGTTTACAGTACTGTGTCCCCGTCACTATATTGGAGTATTAGGACCCACATGGAGTGCCCCCTGCTGGCCCCACTAACACCTCTTCCAGCAGCAACCTTAGTTTTTCCCAGGAGGTCTCCCATCCAGGTACTGACTAGGCTCACACCTGCTTAGCTTCAGTGGGTTGCCAGTTGTGAGTTGCAAAGTGATATGGCTGCTGGCTATTCAATATACAACATTCGTATGAATTATGTAAATGTCATGTAAATGTAAATTTGCCCATAAATAAAAGGCAAATAAGTAATATATGTTTATACATTTGTAATATCTCAATTCACTGTGTGCAGAAGATGTAGACAGGAGAATTACAAAGGCTACACTGCAAAATATAAACCTCTAAAAAAAGAAAGGCCACATTGTTATTTGCAAAGAAGTACAAAGAAGAGCCACAACAGTTTTGGAACAAAGGTTTTGGACAGATGTGATGAACATAAATCTTTATCAAAGTGACAGAATGGCAAAACAGTAGATAGGGACTGCAAATAATCTTAAACACACCCATGAAAGCATGTACAGTAGCATAATCTAAGCATGGGAGTGTCATGGTTTAGGCATCAATAGCTGCCATTGGAATTGGCTCACTGGATTTTATTGATGATGTAAATAATGAGTAGGCACCAGCAGAATGAATTCTGACATGTAAAGCAACATCTTGTCTGTCAATGTCCAAAACAACACCATCAAATTCATTGGGCTGCCATAAGAAGATGACCTAAAACATACAATATTGCACACTTAACGAAGGGGTTTAACAGGAAGAAGAAGTGGAAACCTCAATCTCCTGGTTGGAGTCCTGTTGAGCTTGCATTTAACTAAAGTCAGAAACTAAAGTATGAAAATCTAAGACACCAGCAAGTATGCACTAACCCCAGTGCGCTTTTCCAATCAATTCTAATTCTCAGGTACATGTGGAAAGATGTAGGGCTCTGTAAGGTGTCTGTGCTTATATAATATCCCAGTTCTGTGTGCGTGCAGTAGACCAGAGAGTCAAGTCTTAAACAATTAATGATACCAAATTGAGTAGATACTGTATAAAAAAAATAAGTGGTTATTCCTATTTCTTAAAAAAAGAATTTACCTTGACATTTGTTGATGCGATAAAACAAAGGTGTTGAAGGATGTCCAGAGATAGAGTCTGCCCGGTTGAAGAGCCTCCTTCAAAGTTTATGGCTGTTTACCACAACTTTTATTTCTTCCCAGCTGTAGGCTGAATAAATCTCCATAATGGTGAGCAAGCTGAAGAAATTCTTATGATTAAAAACAGAAGTGTATTGCTCACTTATAAAACTACTCATGCCATCTGAAAACTTATTGTCTTAATATTGAATACGGAAAATGATATTCAGTGTTGAATTGTGTGTGGTAATGTTTGGTTTGTATATTTATAAAATAATTTGACTGGAAAGGGATATAAAAATGGTTAAGCATTTGTCAAGTTATTAGTATCCATTTACATTTACTCAGAAATAGTTGTCCTTAAATGTACAAGTGCCCTGATCAAAGAGTTCAGCTGGTGTCGGTTATTGATTTGTCTGCTTTTATGTAACAACCAACCTCTAAGGGGAAAAGTCTAATCTGCATTTAAAATAACAATGAACTGTTCATTTCAGTTTTAAGAATTTAGGATTAATCAGCTTATTAAACTCTCGAGTTATTACTCAGGGTAGCAAAAATTAGGTATATGAGGTACCCAGATTTTAATTAGCTAGCTGTGTCCATCCTTTGAAATTCTTTTTTCAGAAGTAGTAAGCCCCTAGTCAACTGTAATCTTCATAAAAAATGTTGTATTCTTAAAAATATTTAACATATCATATAAAGTCAACATGTTATCAGTTTGTACTGTATGGTTCTTTTACAATACTCACGATAATATGACTATATTTCAGTTAATGGAATAAAAAAGCACTGACCTTGCTCATGTAAATGTTGAATGGGATCAACATTAAAGACATTTCCAACAGAAGGCAGAGCCCAGGAACCAGGCGGGAAGTTCTTGAAATATGAAGACACCTCCAATGCCCAGCCACTGCAATGATGAGTAAAAAACCCAACTATAGTGGTACTTATACTTTAAAAATAGCAAAAAATTAATTGTGATAGCGTGTGAAACCATTTTTTGCAGAAATGTGAGGTTGAAAATTGAAAGTGTTTGTACTGTATGGATAGACAGTAGGAAAAGGGAAGGATCCATCTGTACTCAGGCTAGCCCTCTCTCAGCCAGCAGTGACCCTGGGAAACCTTCACATTCTCATGAGGACTCACGGTTTTCCAGGACTTGCTGCATTGTCCCCATCTGGTGATCTGCATTTAATTACAATTATTCCATTCCCTACTCAATTTCTCTTTCTCTATTTAAAGACAAAGCCCAGCTTCAGCGGCTCTCCATCATTGCTCTTTTCACCCCCTTTCAGTTTTCACATCTGCACATTAGTTCTCTGTTTTGTTTGTATTTATTTCACCCTGTCCTGTCTTCACTCATCTGTTCTCCAGTTCCCTACTATAAAGCCTCAGTGGAATCTGAGAGTGGTTATCTCGCCCTGAATTCTGAAACCCGTCTGCACCCCTGTCTTTGTTCTCGACACCAGAACTCTGCTATGAAGTCTCAGACCTCCTCAACCCTGGATTCCCTGGACTTCTATCTCTGCTGGTTTCCCCATGGTTCTGCCTCACTTCCAAGAGGCAGCTTTTGTCATCCAGTACCCCAGGCTCTCCCCGTGCAGCCCTGTTTCCCTGTTCCAGTTCATCCAATCCAGGATTTCACTGTGTACCACAGCTGCTGAATCTCACTGTGGTACCTGGTCTCCACCCTGGAAATCATGGACTCTTATCTGCTGGCCCCCCATTCCCATTCCCTCCAATTCCTGTGGTTCTGTCCCACATCCAGGAGAGCTTTTCCCATCCATGGAGCCCCCTCACCTCCTTACCTACAGCCTACTCTGTCCTTTTGAGTCCTGTTCCTTGCTCTTTTTCTTTTCTCTGTCCTCTTTCCATCCCTTCTGGCTCCTCTATGGGGTGGCTTCCTCACCATCCTGTCTCGTGCTGTTTGGGTTCTTATCTTTTTCTCCTTTTTCCCTAGTCTCCTTCCAGTGTCCCAGCAGAGCCTTCTGTTCCTGGGGAACCAGGCAACCTGTATCCACTGTCTGGAGAGTGTTTCTGTTAGCCTGGCCTCCCTGAGGATTCTTGTTTCCCAGCTCTGACTAGGACCACTTCCTGCAGCTGTGCTGACCCAGGGCTCTGACAGCTAAAAGGGATTTACTACTTTTTCTTTTACTGTCCAGTGCATCGGCCTGTGGGCTTGCCAGTCTGCACCCTTGGCAACTTGGAGCAATGCCTCCCAGATCTGTGCAGCACCCTTCCCTTCTGGGGGATCAGTAGCTGGTTCTGTCCTGGAGCCGAGTCCCACATGCCAGTCAGCGGGCTAGGGTGAACGGTCTAATTTTGAACTGGCACTTTGTCATTTCAGCCTCTCTGTTTATTTGCCAGGGATGCAGAAAGCCAGCAACTTCTGGACCATTGGGCTTCAGTTGGTTTCTTTTCTTCCTGACCAATGGAGGCCATTCTTCCTCTGCTAGTCAGTTCTGTTTTGCTTTTTCTGTTTCCCTTCTCATTATTGGCCAGCCTGGGCTTTTTAAGCCCCGTCGGCCAGTAATTAATTATTTTATTACCACCCTTCTGTTTACAATTTCCTTTTCTCCAGGAGCTGATTTCTCAATCAGTTGGGTCTCCTTGGGTGTTCTGCCGCTCTGCAGTCACTTGCACTTGGGTTCTGATGCTTCACCATCCTCGCAGCTGAAACCGGCTGCAACATTGCATTATGGCATTTCAGAGAAAGACATTCTAAAGGTCTAATGATGAGTCTAAAAGAGTAAGTACTGTACGTAACCTTGTATGCACTCACTTTATGCCCAATTAGATGCTAATATGCACACTTGCAGTCTTGTGCCCTTCATATGTACAGTATGTTCCCACTCAGATCTGCAAGGGTGTCCCATCTCTAAACAGCATGTCACAAGAGTGCTCACAAGCTAACCTAATGAATACTTTATGCGCATTGGAGCTGACTTTGTTGTAGGGAATTACCCCCTATTCCTTGTGGAATGGTGATGTTTCTTTTTCTAACCAATCAAAGCGAAGTAAAGTTACCATGGATAATATCATATTCACATGTTAGTAAAAATTAATTTTTACAGTTCTAAAACTCATTTTATGTAAAAAAATGGATGCAATTTTTAAGTTCTTGAATTATCTTGGAATCGACACACAGTGCAGACCTAGTTGGGGTCCTGAATTAAGAGAACCACATGGACATTCAGTCTGAACTTTCAGATATTTTATATTTCTTTTTCAGTACACACTTTTAAAAGAAATATCCAGAACAAAAACAGGAAAAAACACAGATGCATTTTATTGTCTTTCTTCAAAAGTCCATTACTCAAGTTGTAGGATAATTAGGATATAAATGTATTTATCAAGGTCTACTCTAAAATGTCTACTACCATGAAAAACAGTTTGAAAGTGATTGAACAAGTATGAAAAATCTGCATCATTTTTATTAAGATAGGGCATGAATTGGTTTTCTCAGCCTTTTCGAAAAAATGTAAAATAAATAATAAAAAACAATAAAAAGAAGACATTTTTACTGTATTATGCCAATACTGCAAGCCCTAGAAAGGCTTCTTATAATGTTTACAGTTTTAAAGAAATCTTTTTTACTTTTGTGCACTTTTTGGTATTATACAGTAATACCTAGCATATACAATACACATAATAAACAGGTTAAGTAAAATAAAAAAAAACTACACATGCATGCTATAAAAGCCAGGTGATTTGAATGTACAAGGCTTTGGCAGTTGCAGAATGTTTTCTTTTTAGAAAGTCGTGAATTTTCATAGTATAAAACAGTAAAATTAATACACTTTTTTAAGGTAAGGTAAAATGTATTTTATGTATTTTAGTGAATTTTTACTTTTGCGCTTGTATTTTTCTGGAGAACCAATAAATTATAGATACGTTTTGCTGTTTGTCTAAACTGAAACTCGAGATGAATATAACTATGAAAAAAGGTTAATTTGCTTCATGCTGATATATCTAGTTATGAAACACAGTTCTGAAAAGCTCGGGTTGTCTTGTGTTTTGTGCTGTATAGTATGTGAGGTTGTGTTTTGGTTTTGCTGGTAAGAATATACTGTATATATTATTGTGACTCCTTCACCTGGCATTGCGGCCGAAGGCTGAAAGGAACTTTAATTCCCGTCTTCCTACATTATTCAAACATTGTTAAGCTTTTGTCTTAAAAAATATTTTTTATATTACACTATTAATGTGGTTATTACAAAATAGTTTTATTGCAGTGAAAACAAACTTAATAGCTGTGTTTTGAGGATACTGGAGATCAATTGTACTTAGTCCGCTTCACCGTACTAAACCTGTTCTCAATTGCAATGAAAAATAACAGCTGTTGCCCTCTAGAGGTGACTAAAGTAGCGAACTAACTTAAACCACTTAACTCAAGCAACTTTGTACCATACTTGACGTAACACTGGAAAGCAACTTAAGCATTGGAGGAGAGGGAGGCAGAGTCTCTCACAGAAGCTTGTGAGGCTCCAGCACTGGATTCTCCACTCCACTGTGCTCCCTAAAACAAAATACAAGAGTAGTAAAAATGTGTACATGCTGAAGTACAAAAATAACATTATATGACGTACTTACTTGAGCTCCTTTGGAATGTGCTCCATCTTCACTTCCCAGGTCTCTTACAGCACCTGTTTAAAGTACGAAACAGTATCATTTTATTATTTTCAGTTGCTTACCTGCATGTGAGCATACTGTACACAGAAAGAAAATCTGTATGATTTCAGTTCTCTAAATTGGTGTCCACGTTGAACACAGGGTGGAGTAATTTTGGCAACTGAGACATTAACATTAAAATTAAAACATCTTGCTTCTCCAAAGAAGCCACCCTAGTATTTTAAGAAATGCAGTCTTACCTTGTGTATTTATTCCAGTGCTGTCACTGTCAATAGCACCTTCCACTTCCCCAAGAAGATTTGGTACTATTGACCTTATTTCTGTATACAGATGGGGCAGAAGTGGTACTGGACTGCCTGACGACTGAAGGGAATGTTGCTGTGTCATGGCATTGTGGGCCTCGATTTTTAGCCTCTTCCAGAGGCTTTTTAAGTTGTTAATGCTGGACGGCCATCTACTGTATCTCAGAAGCTGGCATTAAAGCTGCTAATTCCTGACGTCCAAGCATTGTTTCGCCTCAGCATTGTTGTGGAGTCCACTGTCTCCACAACATTCCTGATAAGCTCAATTAAATAAACTTTTTGAGCCAATGTGTAGTTCTGAACTCGAAGCCATGGTTGCGGTTCTTTCTTATAAAGCGAAATGATGCATTTATAGGCCATAGACTAATGATGTGTTATAGTCAGCTGTGATCTTTCACTTAATATTGTTTGCAAAGCTTTTGCACTATAAGGCATTTGAAGTGTGAATTAATTAAAAACAATAGTCATTATGAATGAGTTTTGCAAACTGGCTGTGCAGCAAATATTTTTAAGTAATGCAATATTTTAAAGCCATTATTAAAGTGCTTCTAAATTACACATGTAATAAATAAACTAGCTTCATTACTCAAAGATTTTGGTAACAGTCCTTACCTTTTGCCCTCCACAGTCCGCTCAGCCAGCAGCCAAAGGCAATGAGTGGGCATTTGGAGCAAATTACAATGCTCCACAGCAGGTGTTTTCGTTGCTTTCTTTCATAAACATATTAACAGAGTCACTCAAAATCTGTGAAGATGCTGAGCTACTACGATGGAGTTTTATGGACTCGAACAGCACAGTCTGCCCAAATTATATCCAGGCAATATCACAATTTGTATAATCCATTCATTGCATGTAGCGAACAGGAACTTAAAATGCAGTACGGGCTTACAAAGAATAGTGTCAGAAGACTAATTAAGATACTGAAGATTCAACTGCGATCTAAGGGAAGAGTTTGCGTCTGCGGTT